GGAGCAGGGCATTGCCTGCCTGAGAGGGGAGCTGAAGGCAAGCGATGCCGTGCGACAGTCCCCCTCTTTAGAGCATCCCAGCAACCTCGCTCCCGCATCTTAGTCCCCCACCGCGTCGAGGTTGAGCGGAGGCTCGAGGACGGCGTGTTTTGGTACCTGCAAAAGTGGGCAAGGTTAGAGAGTGCAAGAACCCTGCGAGTGGCACTAGCGGGCTTGCAGGTCTGTTTTCTCATGCCAGGCGCACTTGGCAAGTGGTATGTATCAATGCGTAGCAGTGGCAGCAAAGCATTAGCGTAGCATTGCGTGCTGCGCTTGCACAAGCGGTGTAGGCCAAGCGTGGCCAGTGTCATGAAGCGTGACACAATGCGACGCGGAAGCAAGCTCCGCAAGGCTAATGCGTCGCCTCTCAGCACTGCGGTGCTGGAGGAAGGAGATGTTGTCTCGACTTAGCTTATCAGCCCAGACGTTCTTTTCTCCTGCAAGGTGTTCTAGTTCGAACTGCACGCGGTGCAAATGAGCCCATGTGGCGGCCAGTCGGAGGAAAAGGCCTAAAGGCTCTGCTGTGCTGAACAGTTTGTTAAGTCCACTTTCAGCGCTGGTGTTGTCCGTTGCCGAGGGCAGGACAAATCGGACGTGCTTACTGCGGAGGCAATGCCAGGTGCATTGCGCGAGCGCGAGCTGTGCAAGCGTCTCGAAACAGCCGATATACGGCTGCATGCTGCCATGTAGCTGCGGCCATTGTTCGCGGACCTGGTCTGCTGTGAAGATCTCGCTGAACCAAATGAACTGTTTAGCTGTGCTAAGCCAACCTCCTATGCCGATACGTGCTGTGTCAGCAAAAGCGTCTGCTGCGCTGTAGCAGTGCAGGCGCGGTGCTGTGCGCAGGGAGCGAGGCTGCTCATGCGCGAAACATTGTGCCAACCATGCGAGCACAAATTTGCTTTCTTTACGGAGATGGATTTCGGATCGATGTGGATCCGCTAACCGTACCCATTGGTGCTTATGGGAGGGACGAACTAGGGGCACATCGGATTTAGTTGAAATCTTGATGTTGCCTACTTCCAGTAGCTGTGCGTTGCGGGGCAACCAGCTGCCGGAGGGGGTACGGGTTAGTTTGGCTTTGTTGTCGAGCGCGTCGTAAAAAGCTTGCCACATGGTTGGGGCTATGCTATGGAGGGTACCCTTAGCACTATGAAGGTCCTTATAAAGAGGGGCCATGAAGGGGCGGAGGTGCTTGCTTAGAGAGGTGGCCCAATTAAGGAGTCCTAGCATTCCTTCCAGTGCTTTGCGAGGCACTTTACTCTGCTGCCTCAAGGCTGCCAGTTGCTCTCGCAGCTTTTGTAACTTGGCTTGGCGTAACTCGACCGTTTCCGAAAGCGTGCAGAAGTTCCAACCGCACCACGTAACGGTAGTTGAAAACTGTGCCTTTTTCCAGCTGATCGGTGCATGCAGTGCGGCTAGCAATGCAACCACCAGCGCTGCCGCTTCTGCCGACTCACCTTTGCGGAGCAGTGCGAGCAAGTCATCTACGTAGAGCCAAGCGCGGTGCGGGTGGTTGCAGAGCAGTGCGTGCATGCATCTGAGTATGAGGCCACCTGTGCGTTGCCACCAATACGCAGAAAAACGAGCGCCGAAATGGCACACAGTATAGTAGTAGAGTTTGCCTCCCACTCGAAAAAGAAGCGTACCCTGATCCGCGGGTCTGACTTTGCAGCATTTGTGGGCTGCCTTGAAGTCCAGTGACAGTGCTACGAGCGATGCGTAGCAGTCCTGTGCCAGAAAGCTGCGCTGCACGTCAGAGGCAGTGGGCAGTGCAACGTGCTCGGGGAGATGCACGGCTGGGTTAAGGCCGCACACAGTGCTGTCTAAAACTAGTCTAGGGTCGCGCCCTTCGGCCATGACTATATTTAACTTACCTATTGCGGTGCCTTGCGGCCAATGCTGTGCTGCGGCGGATTCGTCACCATCGAAGGGCTGGACAAATCCTTTCGCGACCTCGTCTTGGACGAGTTGCTCGAGGAGTTCCTGGTTGGATTCTGCTGCCAACCAGTTCTCGCGGCAGTGCTCAAGCGATGCTGGGCTAAATTCTTGGGAGAAGTCCAGCTCAGGCTGTGCAGGGGTCCACTGACCACTGGAGGGCAGGGGCTCGAAGGCACCAGTGGGAACTCCCTCGGAGAGCAGTGCTGGCAAGCCGGAGTCCTTATCTTGCAGCGCAGAGGCGAGGCATTGCAAGACGTTGAGTCGGAAAGGCTGGCCCTGTGCAATCTCATGAAAGGTGCCGGGGTCAGCGCGCGGTGCCAGGGTCTGCCTAATGATCTCTGCAAGAACTAACCCCTGTTCCTCGGATAGGGGGGGGTGCCATCGGCGGTTTCGAGTTGTGTCTTTATGTGTGAAAGCAGGCCTTGCGACTTAAGATATGTAAGGAAGGTAGATGCCAGGCTTTTAAGGGGTTTAGGCTTAGTGGAGACATTGCTAGCGGTATGGTCGGCAGTGCTGAAGAGGCCCGCACCGTCACAGATAGCGGGGCGTCTTGGCAGGAAGTGTGCAGGCATGTATTTGCTGATGCGATCAATATGCACAGGCTGCGTGAGCAGCGAGGTGCAGTGGCCGGCGATGATGTGCATGAGGCTGGGCCAAGGAGCTTCGGCGGATGTGAGTGCCGCGACGGAGTTGTCGCTGGTGCAGAGCATCCGAGGTTCAGCGTTAGGCGGCGCCAACCAGATGCAGCGCGCTGCTAACTCTTGACAGAGATGGATATAGTCTGCTTCTATGTCTTCTTGGCAAAGCCGTGGCATCCAGAAGTAGACTTGAGCCCCCTGAAGATGAGCGGCGCGTATGACACAGCGGATCGCAGCGTGGTCGGATGCCGAGCAATGGTCCGTGCTGTGAAGGAAAGCTAAGGCTCCCAGCGTGCCCGACCATGCTGCAACGCGGAGTGACTGGAGGCTGTTTTCACTCCAAGGCGTCGTTAGGCTGGCCACGGCCAATCTGTCAACCCGGGGGGGTTCGTACTGCGCACCTGATGTGAAGAGCAGGAATCTGGGATGGGCCTCCGGCTCTTGTGACATGTCTGAGTAATCTGAGTAATCGTCTGTCCGCGGAGGGAGCGTCCGCCGATAATGCAGGCGGAGCTGTGGCAGCGGACGATTGCTTTGCGGAAGTGCTGTGCTCCGGCTTGTGCTGCAGCTGGGGCGGTGACTTAGGGGCTGCGCTGCGGGGCTTAGGGTTAGGCGGTGCGGGCGGTGCTGTCGCAGGCGTGGCCGGGGATGTGTGCTGGAGCAACCGAGCTCCCCCGGCTGAGGGCGGCTGCGCAGTTCACGATGACGGCGGTTCCTGGGGATTGCGATGCTTACATGCAGGATGATTCTTCCCACATGGTTCTCCGTTGGGCATGCGCAGTGCGCACGCGTGCAGATATTTACATTGCTTGTTGGTGCAGGCGCCCTTGTTAAAGCGGATGCAAAACGTTTTGTTGCCGTGCGCTTTGACAAGGTCTAGCTGTGCAGTGTCTGAAGCGCCTGGCGTACCAGGGGTTTTACGCTTTAAGGGCGGTGCGTTGCCTTTGCCTGTTTTGCCTTTGCCGGTTTTGCCTTTGCCCCGAAGCGGTGCGTTGGGGTCGCGGGGTGGACGAAGCGGTGGCGGTGGCGGCCTTGCGCGGAGCTGCAGGAGGTTGCCGACGTCCGAGCGGACGGTCGTCATTTCGTGCAGTGCGTCGTCAAGGTTCCAGCCGGCGCTGTGCAGACTGGAGATCTCTTTCCAGAGTTTGCGATCTGCCGAGACGAGCTCACTCGTGGACACTGTGCGGAGCGAGGGGTCCGCGGGCGCCTGCGTTGCTAGGTCCAGGATTTTCTTATCATAGGCCTTGAGGCGCTGCAGGTGTGCGCCCTTGCACAGTGCGATGGCATTGCAGAAGACGGTTTGTATGCGTCCTAACCATGCGGGGCTGAGGCGAAGGTGATCAACCGGCAATTCGGGAGTATCATCGAAGAGTGCGGTGCTGAGGAAGGCGGCCTCAGTGCGGAGCGTTTTGGTTGTGCGGCTCTCGATGATCTCTTGGTATTGTTTTTCGGACAATCGAAGTTGCCAGGGGACCCAGCTGATAGCGTTGCCTGGCACAAACCAGCGATGAACGATGCTGAGCAGTCTTACGCTGGGCATGGCATCGCCGTCCAGGTGTTC